TATATACATATTATTAGGTTGGCTTGAGAAATAATAACATATCTTTTCAGACTGATCCGACTTATAGTTTTTATAAAACTGAAAATAACAAATCAGAAAAATCCCATTGACTTGCATTGACGGAATGTTCAAATGAGCCGAAACTATTCAAACTCCAACTCTCAAAATTCAAATGTAAACACACTGAAGCCCATTAGACTCAATCAAGCTTCCCTTCTATGTACTATTTCTAATCAATTTAAACTCATTCAATCTCATCTATCTAATATTTCTAATCTATCTATCTATCTGACTTTCTTTCTTAGAAACATGCTAGCGACATGCTAGTAACTTGCTAATCATGTTAGAAACATGCTAGTCACTTGCTAATCATGCTAGCAACATTTTAGTAACATGTTAATCATGCTAGAAACATGCTAGCGACAATCTTGTAACTTGCTAATCATGCTAGAAACATGCTAGTTACTTGCTATTCATGCTAGCAACATGCTAGTTACTTGCTAATCAGGCTAACAAAATGCTAGTAATGCTAGAAACATGCTAGAAACATGCTAGCGACATGCTAGTAACTTGCTAATCATGTTAGAAACATGCTAGTCACTTGCTAATCATGCTAGTAACATGCTAGCGACATGCTAGTAACTTGCTAATCATGCTAGACACATGCTAGTCACTTGCTAATCATGCTAACAAAACATGCTAGTAACATGCTAATGATGCTAGAAACATGCTATCGACATGCTAGTAACTTGCTAATCATGCTAGGAACATGCTAGTAATTTGCTATTCAATGCTAGCAACATGCTAGTTTATTGCTTGTCATGCTAGCAAAATGTTAGTAACATGCTAATCATGCAAGAAACATGCTAGTGACATGCTAGTAACTTGCTAATCATGCAAGAAACATGCTAGCAACATGCTAGTCATGCCAGCAATATGCTAGTGACAGGCCAATCATGCTAAAAACATGCTAATCATGCTAGAAGTCTAGTCACTTGCTAATCATGCTAGAAACATGCTAGCAACATGCTAGTAACTTGCTAAGCATGCTAGCAAAATATGTTAGTCACTTGCTAATCATGCTAATCATGCAAGAAACATGCTAGTGACATGCTAGTAACTTGCTAATCATGCAAGAAACATGCTAGCAACATGCTAGTCATGCCAGCAATATGCTAGTGACAGGCCAATCATGCTAAAAACATGCTAATCATGCTAGAAACAGGTTATCAACATCTATCTAATCTAAATTTTCAAACTTCGGGCTTTTACAGCTGCTTTAAACTTTCAGGCTAGGCTTTCTCAAGCCAACCTAAAGTTTGTCTTGACAAACTTTTTTATCCAGTTATTATTATTATTATTTGGCTGTGTTAATGCAAGCCAGTGTTATTTTAGTATCAATGAGATACTACTATAGTTTTTGTTAATGTTTTGAATTTCATTTTATTTTTATATTTTTTGTTTTCATGTTAATTTTAGTTAAAGTTTTTACTCATTTTGTTTTGTGTTTTTGTCATTATTATTATAAGAAATGAAACTAGCTGAAATAAAATGTTTAACATTTTTTTGTTTTGTTCTTTTAAACATTTATTTTATCTAGAAACAGGTTATCAACATCTATCTAATCTAAATTTTCAAACTTCGGGCTTTTACAGCTGCTTTAAACTTTCAGGCTAGGCTTTCTCAAGCCAACCTAAAGTTTGTCTTGACAAACTTTTTTATCCAGTTATTATTATTATTATTTGGCTGTGTTAATGCAAGCCAGTGTTATTTTAGTATCAATGAGATACTACTATAGTTTTTGTTAATGTTTTGAATTTCATTTTATTTTTATATTTTTTGTTTTCATGTTAATTTTAGTTAAAGTTTTTACTCATTTTGTTTTGTGTTTTTGTCATTATTATTAGTTTTTGTTGTTTTAAATTTGTTGTTTTAAAATTGTACTATATTTTAGTACATTGTTAAACTAAATGAAAATAAGAAATGAAACTAGCTGAAATAAAATGTTTAACATTTTGTTGTTTTGTTCTTTTAAACATTTATTTTATTTCAAGTAACAAACATGTTTTTTGTGGTTTTAGTTTAACTATAATAATGCAAACGACAAATTGTCAAAATGTGTATTTTTATTGGAATTTTAAAATTTCACCCTCATTTCCTTTCATAAATCTATTTTACACTAAATAAATAAATAAAAAACCTGATTAGCATTTAGTATATGGAAAATAACATATTTTTTCATACTTATTATGTAAACAAACTAAAGGTTTTAAAGGCTTAAAATTGTGAAAATTGATAAATTTTTGGTAGTTATGATTATGACTGAAGTGAGTGAAAATGAAAAAAATTATAATATATAATATTTTTATGACCATTTATTGTCACTTTTGTTTTCTAAGGACCTCTGTGTAACTTTTTTAATTGATGTACAAGGGTTAATGCATCAGAAGTCTTACTTCAGCATTGCAAATTAAGGATGCTTAAGGAGCTTAGATGAGTTCTACATTAACTGTCAACAATAATTCTGCTCTCTAATCACTGCCACTGATAAAGCAGAAGAGCTTTTGGGGTTTTCTGACTCAAAGCGTCCGTTCCTGGAGCAGGTGCCGCCACTTTCTGCAGTTAAATTGCACTGCTAATGCTGAGCGCAGGTCTCTCATTAAGGTGGAGGAATGTAAGAGATTCTGGAAGCTTGTTATCGGCATCCATCATCACAGTCCGTCGGTTCCCTTTAGAGAGAAAACTCACAGATGAGCAGGGATGCAATCAGCCCATCCATCTGTCCCGTCTCCCTCTCTCTCTCTCTCGCTCTCTCTCTCTCTCTGTCAGTGT